CCTCCACAACTAGACTGAAGAACAAAAGGACAGCAACTTGTCTGTTCCCCTTCCCCCAATTCCCCAGCACTGTTCCTCTCCCCCAATTCCCCAATTTAAAAAAATCTTTAAAAAATATATAATAATAAAAGTAAAATAAAATATATTACAATGTTAACAATATTGTACAAATAATAATTCCTTGTTTGGAAGGCTTTGAGTTTAAAATCCAAAAGCAGAGTTAAGAAAATACACAAGAGAAAAAGTCTAAGATGGCAGAATAGGAAAAAAAAAAAAGAAAATATGCAAAAGTGGCCTAGATTTAGGGAAGCAGGGCTTTGTGGAGTGGGGGTGGGGTTGGGGCTAAGGAAAATCGACAATCTTAAGATATTGATCAAAATTATTTATAATTCTTGAAGTTTACTGAAAATTGGATAAAATTTAATAAGCTCCTTAAGAGTAGGAACCAAGTCTTTTACTCAAGGCTGCATCCTCAGGACCTAGTACAATCAATATGTGTTACCAGAAGATGCTCAATAAATATTTGTTGACTAAATAAGTGAGGGAATGAAAAAACATTTCTCTCTAGTAAGTGGCCAAATATTTGCATTTAAATTCTGACTGCTTCCAAAATGGTTTTGAAGAGGCTTATAATATTAACCAGGTCAACACTTTCAATTATAAAAACAACCAGAATGAAAAAGGATAAACTAAGAATCCTATAGTTTGTTACTCCACTGAACATTAAATTTCTATTTGAGCTGCCTAGAAACCAATATAAAAAAGAAAATATGCCTTCATTATTAAATGAAAGAAGGTAAACAAATACTTCTGGAGATGAAAAGCTTTTGCTGATACTTAACTGTATTTGACTTCATGAATTCTTATTAAGAGGAACATGGGATATCAAGGTAGACAATATCTCAGAAACTGCAGCTATATAAAAACCCAGTCATTTTAAATTTGGAGACATTAGGGGCCAGCCAAGTGGCGCATTAGTTAAGAGCTGGCTTGGGACACCAGCCCTGAGCAGCAGGGCCCCAGTTTGGATCCCACATGCGGGCCAGTGACACTGCCCTCTACAGCTAAGATGGTGAACAACAGCTCAACCTGGAGCTGGGCTGCTGTGAGTCGCCGGTAATGGCGTAGGCTGCAGCCCCTGCTGCAGTGGGCTGGCATAAGCTACTGTGTGTGGCCGGCAGCCAGCATGAGCAGCTGGCAGCAGGTATGAGCTGCCAAGAGCCGCCGTGAGCGGCTGTCCAGAGGGCGGCGACCAATCTGCCTCACCTGGGAACAGCACAATGATAATACCAACATGGGCTAGTGAAGCGACGTCCTCCACAACTACGGTAGACTGAAGAACAAAAGGGCAGCAACTTGTCTGTTCCCCTTCCCTGATTCCCCAACACTGTTCCCCTTCCCCAATAAAATCTTTAAAAATAATAATAAATTTGAAACATTAGGGAAATGAAGTTTTCCTTTCTTGATTTTTGTCAACATGAAAATGACCTGAAATCATCAAGTCCAGAACGGAGATATCCAGATAATAACTATGATAATATTTATTCTAATGAGCCACTTCATTCATTGCTGCCTTAATTCTCAAAGGTAACTAACTTTACAACATTCTGTGAGGTGAGGGTCAGGGATAGTTTTACTCCAGGTCCTAGATAAGAACAGAAAATAAAAGAAGGTGGGTCTCTCTGTACACGCCTCTTTCTCTGCTACCCCACACACCCTCCTGGGTATTCTTCTATACTTGGTGCTGAGGACTACCTTTTACTTTTCTCTCTGTCCCTTCAAGAGTAATCCATCACTAGCTCGTCAACCATAGCCACTGTGAGGAAGATTCCCAAATCTGCATATCCAATTCTGACAACTTCCTAAGGCCATGTTATATAATTGGTTAACCACTATTTTTACTTAGAAATTCTCACTGTCCTTTAAAATATTCATGTACTTAAAAGCAATTCCCCTTCTAAAATTAGAAACTGCCAATGGCAGCATAATTTTCCTGCTCTCAAATTTAAAATCTTGGAATTATCTTTGATTTCTCCCTTTGTTTGCGTCCCTCTTATATCTAAGTAGCTCCCACATCCTGTCATTTCTCTTTTGAAGTCCTTCCATCGTCCACCCACCATCCCCCTCTCCCGGTTGTCCTTCCTCTCCTTCCCATTGCCACTATGCTACACTATGCTAGTCCAAGCCCTTACCACTTCGGATCTGGGCTGTCACAATGGCCTCTCCCCTGATCTCCCTGTCTTTCTCCATACTTCTCCTCCACTCTTACCAAAATAAGCTCGGGTTTTGTTTTTATTCTATTATAGCAATGCTCAAAAGCCTTCCATAGTTTCCCAGTGTCCTCAGGAAAAAGTCCAAACTCCTCAGGATGAATTTCAAGGTTCTGGAAAACCTCTCCCCAGGGCACCTGTGCGTTCTTATCACACTTTACCTGGTCTCTGTAGGCTGACTTATCACCACTGTCTGCAGTCCTCTGCTAGGCTCTCCCCCTATTCTGAACGTATTTCCTCCTAGTGAAATCCATCCTAGCTGCAGTTCAAACCTGTACTTCCTTTCGTTTTACCTCCTCTTTGAAGTCTACTCTCAGTCTAGCTCATACTGGTATCTCCCTGTAGTCCCAAAACATTTTTAAAGTCTCCTATAGATAAGGCACTGTAGGGATAACATGACTAATCCTGGCTCCCTACCAGCACTATTTATTGAACACTTAAAATGTGCCTGATACAGTGCTAAACACTTTATACCTACTATCTAATTCGATCTTTACAAAAAATCTGTGAGGTACTATAGTATCATTTCATACATGAGGAAAATGAGGCTCAGAGAGGTTACATGCTTTCCCTGGGGCCACAGAGTAATGGGGCTGCTACCTTTCATTGCTCAAGTTGTGAACTGCACAAGTTGTGTGGTTATCCATAGATAAGCTGGTGGGTAAAAACCCAAGATAGTCTGATTCCAAACACTGTGTGCTCTTAACGATTGTATTATACTTCCTCCCCATGGATCCAGCTGGCAGGGAAATTACTATCTGAATTCCAGTTGCTATCACAACCATGTATTTCATAGCCGCAAAATGGGATGCACTATTAATAAGACAGAAAATTAGAAATTAAGATGTCTGAGAAAGCCTGGGATATACAGATTTTATGCCTCTATCACTAACAAAACTTTTTTTGAGGGTTTTACTGTTATGTCCTAAATACATATCTAACTTTCCAGAAAGTAGAGCTCATGTGAGGAACAAAGTGTCTCCATAAAAACCTGCTAAGCTAAACACATACTAAGCAATGCTGAAGGCAACACTGAACATCAGAGCAGTTGACCTTCTTTCCTTTCTTGAGTTTTTTATAAGTTAAACCAGGCTCTATATTTCTCAGCTCCTTTATTTCTCCTTTCTTCCCCCAAAGTCATCCACATTGACTTGCTAGTCCCCTGGCCTAGTTTCCAGCGCCTACCTTCAAGCCTCCCTTCTTTTGAGCTAGCCTGACTTTCAATGTTTTTTAGTGAATTTTCTCTAATAAAAGATGTTCCAGTTGACTCTTGATGCCTCCATACCAAATGATTAATAACTCCTTTAGCATCCCATACTTGGTCTGCCCTATAATTATAAATATTGTGTGCTCAATATGTTTTTTGGTTCTGCAAAATTGTAAAGTAGTGACCCCATTTTCAGGATGTCAGTGTTGGACAGAAAAATAGTTTTAACAACCTTCATAAAAGTAGAACAGTGTTTAAAGGGCACTTATGATTCATACACATCCTATTGGTTGGCTTACTCTGAAGCACTTACATTATTATCGTGAAGATATTCAATTGCTCGAAGGATCTGGAAGAGGTATTTTCTAAGTCGTTTACTTTCTAGTCCGTGACAATAATGTTGTAACTCATCTAATATTGTGTGGTCAATAAATTCAAACACCAAATGAATTTTCTTTTTCTGTCTAAAAACTTCAATCAGATTGACCAGGTTTTCATGACGAAATTGCTATTGACAAAAGAGACAGATTTTTCATAAATTATTTCATATACAATAATTTGTATATATAACACCTAAATCATTTTTAAAAGCAGAAATATTCTCAGCTTCTTTTCCTCCGTGCATTTCAACAGAAATTTCTCAACTGATTTGCTTACATTCCTATTTTAAGAAACTGTTCATCTATTTCATAATTAATACTTATAGAACAAAGGGAAATGTTACTTTGCTTCAAGTTAGCATTTGATTGCTTATTAAAATAATTTAGAGTTCATGTACTTTAACGCAACTTGGTATGCTGCTAAGAGTTATCTTCCTATTCTTTTATTTATTTATTTATTTTAGCTGAGCCATTCTGCCACCTATTGGCAGCTCAGCTCAGGCCAGGGCTTGAACTGCTGTTGCTCAGAGCTCGCACTCTTGAGCTAGCTCTTAACCAACTGAGCCACTCTGCCAGCCCTCTTCCTATTCTTTAACTTGGTTTGTGGTTAAATTTAACATCTGAAATTTAAAAGGTCCTTATATTTTCAAATAAGCATGGATTTCAATACCACTATGTGATCTGAATTTACAGAAATTAATTATTCTCTCTGAGTTTGGTCCTAAACTCTCGAAAGTAAAACCTAAATTCCAGGTGGACATTACAAATTCATCCCAGTGGAACAAGAGTATCAAACTATCGTGAAACTTTTCAGATATATGAAATACCAATTTACAGGAAATTTACATAAAAATACAATTATTTGTGGGTACATTTTTGTTCTATTCTATTAAATATTATGATATTTTATCCTACTAGAATAATATTCTAGTATTCTATTAAACAAGACATCTTTTTAGACTCTTAACAATCACTGTTAAAATAATTTCAAGATGTCAAAAATGGCCTGTTATCAGCTTAGAAAACAAATGGTTTAATATTTTATGCTGCTCATTCTATTTTTCAACACAATAACTTGATAACAATCAATTCTTAAATATTTAATTTTTTTTAAATTACCAAAAATATTTATTCATTTGGCTAAAAATTAAGGGGTTATATTTTCAATGTTGGATTCATTAGAAAAGTATAGTTTTATGAAAAATATTTGCCTTTATTCCAATGGCACAATATCAATTTTTCTTCTTATCTGTATTAATACATAAACCAGTCCTTAAAACATGACAAACAGAAAAACATGCCAAAATATAATACCAGCTTCCTTTCCTATTCTTGCTCCCAATTTTCCCAGTTTGCAAAATGCCGAGTGCTGCAGCAACAACATGCTGGCAGAGTGAAAAGAGCTGTCTGCTTTTGGACACTACAATATTAATCTTTCAGGAAGAAAAACTAACGGTTTCCTGTCCAGTCTTTATTTTAAAGGCAAAGCAGTTAAGGGTTAATGTGAGTTAATAAGCATTAGGGAAGATCAACCCAGGGTAAAGGAACCAAGTACCTTCTCAGATAAACCCTAGTAAAGATAACCTCAAAAGCACCTAGTAAAGATGACCAGCAGGCTCTATTACCCCTTTTCAAGTTGTTTACTTTTGCTTTCCTTCATGACTAGACAACTTTTCTGGAGATACTCTCACTAATTACTCTAACTGTGATTTATTTAATGAAATTCTAGCAGATAAAAATTTAGTTCAAATTAATTCACTGTGGCTATCTTTTTAGACTAAGAATGTTAACTAATCCAAAAAATCTGTTTTGTGGAATTAAAATTCTATAAGAAATAAACCAATACGAATGGTTAAGGTGTCTCAAAATAGTTTGCATAATAGTTGTAATAGTAAAGTACATTTTTAAATTCATCTGTGTTCTTGCCACATATTGGTTTTTACCAAATGACTACGTAGAAAAAAAATCAGCTTAAATGCAACAGAGTTGAAGAAAGAGTGAAAGACATTGCATGGGAAAAGGTCTCCTTCTAGTCAGATTTCCACTTACAGTGCACAACAGTGTCTTATACAATAGTATTGTTTTAGGTCATCAGGATAAGGACTGGTATCTTTCACAAAATTATAACATCTTTACTGACTTTAACTTTTCTTTTCATTGTCTAGAAACAGAGCAGTTCCAACAATTCACATATGCCTAATATAGTTCTTCTATTTAGAAAGCAAATCAATTCATCATATTTAATATGGACTTACAAGGCATATTGCTTTTGTATCAGATAAAAATGAACAAGAGTATCTTGTTTTCTTCATCACATGAAACACCTAGACTACATTGTCAAGGTCATAAACCTTAAAGCATCTAGATAAATTCTAATATATAAAATACATATATAAACACTTTTTAATCACTTAATTATACCCAATCACCTAGAAATGTTAATGCTCCTTTCTTTACACTCTTGAGTTCTTTGTCCTGTGTGACCTGTCATACCTATACAAAATTCTATCTTCCATCCTGATAGCTTCTGATAATGTCCCCCATTTCTAAAAGCCTACTGGTCATCTTTACTTAAATGTACTCCTGTCCCCTCAAATTCAAATTCCTAAAGCTGAACTAGTTCCCAAACCATGTCTCTTTTGGGTCTTACATATTTCTAATGATAGCTCACCCAACCTCAAAGATGCCTTAGACTCCTCCCTTTCTACTTCCTTCTACACTCTTTCATGTCTTCTTTTGCAATATATTAGGTTCTAACTTTCCTTTCCATTCAAATTGCTGCATTCCAGCAAGGGTCCTCACTACATTTATCAGTATTCCTGAATTAAACTCTTAACAGGCCTATTTTTATCCTTTCAGTGCTCCACTCTATTTTTAAAAAACAGCGCCAGATTTTTATTTATAGTTTCTTTGAATTCAAAACCTTCACCTCTTAACAAAATCAAAATTTAACTCCTTAGCCCCAAAGACAAGGCTTTAAAACATATCTCCAATTTACTTCTCTAATCTCACTTCCGTTTCTGTGCAGGAAATGCTATAAGCAAATGTTTCTGCTTTGTCCTTTGTCCTGCTTTAGCCTCTCTGAGCTGATGCTATTCCCCTAACCTGTAACACAACAGTTTCTCCCTCTAACGTAAATTCTACACATCATTTAAGGTCAAATTCATGTCCCAACTCCTCCAAGAAACCTTCCCTACCCAACAGGACTTTGTGCTAATCACTTGGCATTTATGATGAGTCACTTGTCATTCAGTATTATTTTTATATGTCCTACTGTCTGAATAATGAAAGTCCTGAAGAACAGGTACTGTCTTTTACTTCATGATAGCCTCAGCATCTGGCACAATGCCTTGCACAAAGCAGCCATTTTTATTAAGTGTTATACCTAGGCTATTTCTTAATAATTATTTCACAATATTTGGCATAACTTTTGTTCCATTATACATAAGCACATTTATCTTGTATCATTATAAAATTAGAAAATGTAGACAATAAAGAAGGGTATCACACTTGTTTTCCTAGTACATGTCTTACTGCATGTGTTAACTGAAATATTCCTTATATAATTTTTTATTCCACAACAACTTTTCTTTTGACTTACAGAGAGCAATTAAGGCAAAAGAAGCAAACCTTCAGAAACTTTATTTCTCTCGTTGCAATTTTGTTGACAGATTTTTCTGGTTTCTCATAAAATATTTTAATGGCCACTATCTGCCCAGTATTCTTATGTTTACACTTCATGACTGTTCCATAACTTCCCTCTCCCACTTTTCCAAGGGTTTCATACATCTCCATTCTTAAGCCCGGCTTCTTCTTCATAGAAATAAAGAAAGAAAATGTTAAACCTTTTATTTATTCAAGCTGGATAATACATTTCTACAATAAACCAATACGTCAAAATACAGAAACAGAAAAAACAGGAATCTTTTCCGCAGACCCTGATTGTCTTTGAAAACTCTGTGAGCTCAGCAGTAAGATGTCCCGTGGGGCTCCAACCCTCACCAGAACTTCGGGAGCCTCCCGCTATCTCGATTATTGTCATCAACACTAAGATTTAAGATTCTGTCTCTATACGTCACCTATCCATCATGGGGTGGCTCACACTTCCAGTCATGCCCCAGACATATATGAGGTTTCCGTAATACTGCCTGCAGTCGCCCACAGAACAGGCCCCGGGACCCAGGAAAACCTCGATCCGGCCCGCTCCTCAAACCAGATGTCTTAGGGTCCCAGACCAGTGTCACTCCCCTCGCCCTGCAGACGAGCTCGTCCCGGCAGCAACCACCGCCTCAGCCCATTCTATAGTCCCGCGGGCCTGGCTCTGCGCATTCCCAGCGGGGCAACACGACACCGACCCTACTTAGCAGGCTGGCCCCACTAGCTCAGCGGCCCACTACCATGGCAACGGTGCCGCGGGCCTAGCGCGCAAGACCGGAACATCGGCCGCGCCGGCCTGACCCGGAAGGGGAATGAGAAGACGCGAAAACGATTCCCGGTGGACTCTAAGTGGAAGTTCTCTTGGGGGTGGGGTGGAGGTGAGAAGTACGGGTTGCGGTTGATCAAACTGGGGCCTCCTCACCAAGTTATTTTTGAGCGGAGATGGGGGCGGATCAGCATTTTGACTGCAGCGCGAGTGACGGCAAATCCTCTATGAAAAGGGAACCAAGGCGGATTCTTGTCCTACCTGCGTTTCGCATATGCTCCCAGGCAAGAGAACACATGTTGCTTATGCTTGGTCCTAAAAGGATGTCTGGTGTCACGAAGTGGAGACATCTTGTAAAATGAGACTTCCAAACAAGTCTGGTGTAATGTAGTTTTCTGAGTTACCTAGTTACGTTCAAGCTGGATAATGCGTTTACACAATAAACTGGTATTTGAAAATATAAACAGAAAAAATAGGAATCTTTTCCACAGACCCCGTTTGTCTTTGAAAACTCTTGAGTTCGACCTCAGCTATCGACATTAATTCCTAAAATGCGGATAAGACGGTAATTAAATCAACATTTCTGGAATGCCTGAAATAAAGCGTTTAAATTTTTCCGAACTCCTAGTAATCCTTTTTTAAAAAGTCACTACATGTCTGGGCCGGCCAAGTGGCGCGATGATTAAGAACTGGCTTGGGATGCCAGAGGGCCCCGGTTCTGATCCCATATATGAGGGCCAGTGACACTGCCCTCCACAGCTAAGATGCTGAACAACAGCTCAACCTGGAGCTGGGCTGCCGTGAGTCCCCGAATTCCCCAAAAAAAATCTAAAAAAAAAAAAAAAAAAGTCACTACATGTCAAAACTCTAAACTCTTTGGGAAAGAAAATAATTCAAAGTGTTGTACCACACATGGATTGACATACAAGAGCACAGGTGAAAAAAAAAAAAGCTGTTATCTAATTGCTTTAAGAGCTAGATGTGGGGTTCTGCTGGCATGACAGCCTCCAATGAATAACAAGGATATCAGTGGAGCAAGTGTTCAGGTATTTCTTAGGGCTTTCAGTTCTTTTTTATGTAAAAAGAGTTAAATGTTAAAAGACCAAATCTCACTATGCTGCCCCTAAATGAGAGAGCATCATTATTATCCAATAAATTTCAGTCCAGTGGCTCAGTTGGCTTAAGAGCGCAAGCTCTGAGCAACGGGGCCGCTGGTTCGATTCCCACATGGGCCAGTGACATTGCGCCATCGCTGAGCTGCCAACAGGTGGCGGGATGGTTCAGCTGGTGTAACAAGATTGCCTGTTAGATGGTGGGCTATGCCCACCGGCAACTAAGACTGAACACAGCACCATAAGCTTAGAGGCCACGAGCTGCCGGTGGGAAGCCAGATGGCTACTGGCGCCCTCCACAACAAAGACTGAAGAACAACTTGTCTGTTGCCCTTCCCCAATTCCCCAACACTGTTCCCCTCCCCCACTTTCCCAATAAAATCTTAAAAAAAAAAAATCACACCTATCTACTCGCTGGTCCAGGACCTAAGACGTCTGGTTTGAGGAGTGGGCAAGACCGAGGTTTTCTTGGGACCCAGGACCTGATCTGTGGGTGGCTGCAGGTAGTATTGTACGAACCTCTTATTTGACGGGGGCATGGCAGGCAGTATGAGAACACATCTCATTAAGGCTAGGTGAGTTTTTAAAAAGACCCCACCCCCAGAGATCCTAATTTAAATGAGATAGGGTAAAGGAACTGGTATTTTAAAAGCTTCCCAGGTGTTTCTATGCTGCTAAGGTTTATACTGAGAGAGGAGTGGGAGAGGAAGAAGTGGTCATGGTTTTTGTTTATCACCACCAAAAGAGTTCAGAAATGTCTTTCCGTTTAAAAAGTTGTTCAACCATGTTATAAAATATTGGGTTGTCGGAAAAGTCATGACGCATTTTTGCAATGAAAAACAGAAAAAAATACGTCATGACTTTTCCGATAACCCAATACTTTCTAAGAATAAGAATGTTATAGTAAATCTCATAGTGGGCCCTGACTTGCTGTAAGCATATTTATTAAATATCTGTTCTGGGCTAAGTATTTGCAAGGGACAAGGCATGAATCAGAGTCCCTGCCCTCAGTGAGCTCATAATTTAGAGATACAGAATCACTAGTCTAAAATTATATAGCTTCAAAATGATGCTTTCTACTGTTAAAGAAAAAAAAAAATCACAGGCCCAAAATGGTATCACCAGAGCTAAGAGCCCATAATACCAAACCTAGATTTAATACCTTATCTAATTGACATTTCAACCTCTCCCAGGAAAAGTCTTGACCACAAAACTCCAGACTCACTATCTCGAATTTTCCAGTCAACACCAATGAAGTAATCTATCACGTGGGCCCTCTCCACTCCACCCTCGAAGAAAGAACAGGCAATCTGCATGATAAAAACCCTTCCCGTTCTCTTCCCACCCAAAAAGAAGTCCCTGCTCAAAAATAATCCTTTTCTTTTGTTAATAGTTCTTTTATCTTCTTTTTATAAAAATCTTCCATTTTGTAAAACCCCTCAGAGTGCCCTTCTACTTGCTAGGTGGGATGCTGCCCCATTCATTAATCGCTAATAAAGCCAATTAGATTTTCAAATTTACTCTGTTCAATTTTGTTTTTTAACACCACAAATAGGTTATGGTAGGTCTGGTAACCAGGACAGCTAATGATTCTTGCTCGATACACTGCTATAAGACTTTAATGAAACATCACTGATTTTGTCGAAAGTGTTACTTCATTTTGGAAAACCATAAACTGGGTTTCCAAAACAATTATAAATTGTTAGATAAATGACATAGCAGGGATTTTTTTTTAATTTCTCTTTAGCATTTCATTGCATGTAATCCTACCAGTATGTCTTCACCCTTAGCTATGGGAAGGATTAGGATTGCTATGGCAAGAAGGCAAAAAAGTAAAAATTAGAATATCCAGCTTTTGACAAAGAATCATACTTGTGAATGCACAGCAGGACCTATCAAGAGTTAGTCCTGGCTAGCCTGATCAGGAAGGCAGTTATTAAAAGCAAGAGCTGGAATTCAGGGTTAGAAGATAGGGAGGTACCAGGAAAGTGGGGAAAGTTAGCCCTCTCTGGTTACATTTAACTTTGGGTAAGTTGGGGCAATTCTAAGGTCCTTCCTTATTCTATCTTCTCATCCCACTTTGGGCTGAAGTATTCACAGTCCTCTCCAACAGTCAATACCTTTAAGCCCCGCCCCTGCCCACTGGGCATTTCTGGAACATTAGCACCTCACCTGTTGGTGTGAAAACCCAAAATGAGTTATCCAGGCTAGCTATGTCACGCCCCCCTCCCCCCTACCACTCCCCTCCTCTCCCCCAGATCTAAATCATATTTTTAGGTTTCTTTGACAACCAACCTTCCATTGATACGCTCTCTGGAGTCCTCATACCCACACTTATTGACAAACACGATGGCACCCCACCGTAGCTAAATCCATGGACTTGGATACAAATCCTCACAGGTGAACAGACCCATACGGGAAAAACAAAATTCATAATTCCACAGGGAGTGTGAATAAACCTTGGACAATCTACATCGTTCTTTTCTCTTTGCCCAGACTTTCCAACCTGAAAACCCCACTGCAACGTACATACATACACACTATTGCATGGCCCTAAGAAAGGATTTCAGGGGATTTTACTTTGTATGGGCCTCAGCATTCAATGCCACACTTACTAGAAAAAACTGAAGGCCCCCATCACTCTTCTTCATGTACCAGATTTGATAAGCCATTGAACCAAACAGAGGAGATTTTAAACCCAAATTATTTTCGGCTCAGTTTTAATGACTTAAGAAGCAAAACAAGGTTTGCTTCCGCCACGACCTCTTTGATTGCCCTCCGTGTTCATAGGACGAAATGGATGGAAAACTAGTAAAGGTATATGCCCGCCCTCAGCCCAGTCGATTTAACTACCTGGTTCATTGACCTGGCTGAGAATCAGATCTAGGAGACGCTCTCACGTGATCCGTTCTAATCGCGTCATAGGGACACGTGGTTCTAGATACTTCGCCCCTTCCCCCTCAGGGGTGGATTGTTGACAACGCCGCCAGCAGTCACGTGGTTTTACGTCATCCCTCCTCCTTTCCCTGAAATCTCCGGCTTCGCTTGAGTCCCTCTCTCCCCACCCGGTCGGGCCTAAACTAGTAAAGGGGGGAGACAGGGTGGTGTTTCGGTTTCGGTGTCTCTTAAATCACAACTTCCAGTCTAAACACAGAGAAGACTAACTTTTCGATTAGTTTAGGAAGCCACAATGGATAGGGTCCTGCTGAAAGGCTACTATACGAGCTCTCAAACGGCCTATCCCCTTCTGCTCCACCCCTCACTCTGTGGTACCGGCGGAGGGCGGAGGGATCTGGAGGCGGCGGAGGGAGACGTCATTGCAGGGTTGTTTGTGCAGCCTCGGCGGCGGCGGTGACCCGCAGTGATTCGGCCGCCGCGCCGGGGGGTGGGGGGGCTGCGCGGGACTCTTTTCTTTCAGACTGACCGCGGGGCAGCTGGGGAGCATGTCGACCCCGGCCCGGAGGAGGCTCATGAGAGATTTCAAGCGGTAAGGCCCATCACTTTCGCCTAATTCATGGCTCCTCCCCAAATCTGCGGGCCTGCAGGGTGGGGATCGGGATACCTTTCTCTCACGATCCTAAGAGGGCCGACCGTGGGCCCTGCGGCACCGACAGAAGGCCAGCTCTACCCCCAGTTCGCACTTCCACATCTTTGCTTGCTCACTCCTCTGACGTAAGACATTTCGATACCCCCTCCCCCCCAAAAGTAAAAAGATGGCTGTGGGCTGTCCTAAGATTCGTCGCTGCCTGCTTGGGCCAGCTGCCCGTCGTCTCGCCCTAGCGTTCAAATCTCACCCCCCACCCCCACCCCTACCCCTACCCCTGCACCCTGCGGCGCCCCCTCCTTGTCTCCCAAAAGCGAGCTTTTGCGGAAGCGGTTTTCGCTGCTTGCTGCACCAATCAGCTTTGTTCGATGGCCCTGCGGTCTCCTCGGAGTGGCAGGGTTGGGGCGAATAGCTCCCCCACCCCCCATTCTTCTGCAGCGAGGGTGGGGTCTGCTGCGCGAGGCCCGGAGGTGGTTAACCCATCCTCCGAAACCCGATTCTCCCCCGCCCGCCTGAAAGGACCTTGAGAACTGGCTTAGAGACCTGGGAGTCGAGCTGGCAACACCGGCTGCCAGTGCCTTCTGGAACTCAGCTCCGTGGCCTGGTGTATAAAGCCCTATCTATAGCCTCCAAAGTCTGGAAAAATGCCTTCCCAGAGACTGGCGCTAACCTGATACTCCCTGTGCCTCCTTTTGTAAAATAGGGTTTTGTTAAGAGGTGTGGGGGTTAGTGAGAAGGAAGTGGATTTTTTTCAGTTGCTTACCTTTGATTGAACGCTTGGAGGTACGGGGTAAAAAGTGACTGAGAAAACTTAGTATTGCGAACTTCTGAACATTTTAAGTGTTTTTCAAGGGAGACTGCCTTGATTGAGACAGAATATCTAGTATAAAATTTTAGATTAGCCGCTCAGGAAGTACCCTCTTAACTTCGCCATTATAAAGTCGTAGGTGAGGCATTTGGAAGCTATTGTTTTGGGCTTTGGCCAATTTATCATTGAATATATTCGTCACTTCTCTTAACCAGTTGCGTTTGGTGGGCGTCAGGCAGCATAATTCCGCTATGGTTTCCATCCATCGTAATCCGTCCATCCTAATCTGCTTGAGGTTCACTAAAAATAACCATTTTTATGTAGGCTAATTTCAAAGTATACTACATGACAATCACTGCATATATAATATATACAATATAGCATTCATTTGTTACTGAGATGAGTCTTTAAAAGGAAATGCCCTATCTCGTGCAAAAGCCGTCTTCTACAGTTTGAAATCAGTAGATTTCAGACTAACTCCTATGAATGAAATTTAATAAAATCCAGTTTGTGTCCATTGTTAACCCTGGTTTCTTACTGTGATTCCCCGCTTTATTCTGAATTGAACACATGGCACCTTTGCTAATTTTCCAAGGGTCTCCAGGTTATGACAACTTGACTATGACAACGTTGGAGGTAGTAGCTTTGTATTGAGTCTCCTGATCTGAGAGGTACAGTAGATTTAGTGTTAGTGCAGAGCCTCTAAAAGAGGGACTGACAGGAAAACCTAACAACTGAAGCTTTGATTACTTTAAAAGCCATTGCCAATTGAAGCAAATGGGATAAAGGAACTCTCCAGCCTAAAATTAGTTTCCTAATTAAATTGAATATGTGTTTTCAATCGTTTAGTGTTTACACTGAGGTTTTTTTGTTTGGGGGGTGTTGGGAGAGGTTTAGTGGCAATGTTGCACAAATAGCTGTGGTTAGGACTCATACAGCAGCAAAATTGATCTATAAAAATATTTTTTGCAGTTGAGGTTTTTATTTTATTTTTTTATTTGATTGAGGGCAGCCTGTATACATTAGTTCTTGAAGAGATACCTTAATCTTGATGATATTTGAAGAGGTATAGTCCCAAGCCCTTTGGAATTTTACATAATTTATAGCTAAGTGTATATATACCTCGTCGATTTTTTTTTTAAGTTATATGATTTATTCCAGCTTAACACAAGGACAGAAAAATGGTTTTAGTTTGTGTTTCAAAGTAGATGGCGCATAGGTGTTCTGTTTGGTCTTTTTTTCCTGGTCTAAATGTTCAACTTGTAAAATTACTACCTGGGTTTCTAGATTGCAAGAGGACCCACCTGTGGGTGTCAGTGGCGCACCATCTGAAAATAACATCATGCAGTGGAATGCAGTTATATTTGGGTGAGTTGAAGGATATAACAATTGCTAGATGTGGTGATTCTGTAAGAAAAAAATGTGTAACAACTAGGAAGAGAGGCTAAGGTGGAATGGGGATGTTACAAAAACTGCAAGGTAAATTAGAAAAATCATTCTGATAAGGGTTTTGGCAGTTACATAAAATTTATTTGCATTTTGGTATTAATACATATGATTTTATAACGACTTTGGCTTTACTGATAAATGTACCATTTGAAACTAAAGGGAAAAAGATAAATTAGTTTGTACAAAATGTACAAAGCAAATGTTTATGCTTTCATTCTACTGGAACTATAAAAAGGCTGGGAACCAAAAATTTGAGAATTTACACTGGCAAGAATTTAAATGAAAAATATTTCACAGCCCAGTTTGAAGTACAGGCGATATTGCGGGTTTGGTTCCAGACCATCACAATAAAGCCAGTCGTAATTTCCCTTTTTTTTTTTTTTTTTCGCTGGTGGAGGGCCTCGCTTTAATTTGTAAAAAGGCAACATCTGTGAAGTACAATAAAATGAGGTATAGCTGTAGCTGAATGGAGCCTTGTGAGAAGGCAGTCTTACACTCTACATATTATATAGTGGTATATTGCATATATGCATCTTTAATTTAAAATTTCCTATGCCTTTTCTTTGGTTTTCCCACACTTGATCTTTTTTCTTTCACTCTTTTTAAACTAGGATTTTGCACTAAAACTTTAAAGATAATACTTTTGTAAACAAGATTCTGAGTTGCCACTGAATCAGTTGAATCTACTTTAAAAACTAGTGAAAAAAATGTTCGTAGTTCACCCTTCTACAGTAAAGTGATTATATTAAATTTAGGCTGTTAACATGCTTATTTGAGATCCAGAATATGCCTTGCAAGTAATAATTACATTTCATGCTGCTGCTTAAGAAAAATGAAATTGGGGTTCAGAGGCAAGGAAAGGATTTGAGCAAAAGAAACTGGCTTTCTTGGTGATTTCAGTTATGTCTATCCAGTTTGAGCAAGAGATAAAGGTCTGTTGAAAAGCAGAACACTTTGATGTCATGATTATCTTAAAGGGTGTTGATTTCCATTTTACTGATGTAAATTGTAAATGGGACATTCTGTTAAGAACACATATATTTACAAAATGATTGGTTGTTATTTATAAACTGAATTTTTTTGTGCTAAAATAATGGCTGGGTTTTTTTTTGGTGGTTTTTTTTTTGTAAAACCACCCTAAAAGGAAAACTTAGAAAATGCAAGTTACCCTTTATACTTCTATAAAAATCTAGGGCTTAGGTGATATTAAACTAACAACATCTTAAAGACTCCACAAATGATCAGAATGAGCCCCTCTTTCTCTGTTGAAAATCAGGAAAAAGCAGAATGAAAGAATGAAAAACTTTTTTTAATCAGAAATCTTCTTGTTTTCAGACCAGAAGGGACACCCTTTGAAGATGGTGAGTCATTCTCGTATGTTTTCTATAGTATTGGGCTTTTTTCAGTAGAAAGTTGTAACACTAATGCATCTACTTAAAACTATTTTCTGTTGTTAATGATCAAATTAAAACTAAATGCTATTAAGTTATAGTTTACAAAGGACTTTCTTCCCACCTCAGCTTGATCACCTGTGTTGCCAGTTACTGTTACTTTGATTAATTAGCTATAGAACTGTAAGCGTAGATGGTAAGGGTCTATGTTGAGAAGAGTTTAAATTTTGATGGCTTTGTAGCATGCCAGCGATGTCCCTGAGTAAACACCAGGAGGGGAATTGTGCTTTTTTTCAAACTTTGTTATCTATATTGATAGAATGTTGAGCTGAAATTGTTTTTAAATACACATAGCTACCAGTAGTATCACATACAGCTAGCATTTAACATCCATAAATAATATTCTGCATAATCTTTTTCATCTTAAATTCAGTATTTTCACCAAGAGCCAGGAAAACGGAAAACTAGTTCTAATATATATTTGTAGTTGAGCTTCTCAAATGGATTTTAACCAGGTATTTAGATTTTCCCTAGTTATAGCATGGTTTTAAAAAAAAATTGTTAAACCAGTTTGTTCTTGTTATCAAAATGGCTTCAGCATCAAGGCTATTTGTACAAAGATAGTGATTGCAGCACTGTTTTTAAGGAGATAACCTGAATGTACAATAGGGGAAATGGTTAGCAAATTACGATATTGCTATGGAATATTATGTACCTATTAAGGAATAAGGTGATCTGGACATATGACAACGTTGCAGAATAATGTGTGTTGTAGTGTCACGTTTTTACTAAGTACATACGTGCAAGCGTGTGTGTGAAAGGGTTATGTATCTATCACACTGCTATCAGTGGTTACCTCTAGGTTGGGATAAGGAAGAGAAGTACGTACTAAACTACTTCAGCTTTTCAGTCTATACCAGGTGGTTCTCAAAAGTGGTCCATAAACCCCTTAAGTCCTGAAACCCTTTCTGGAGTTCCATGTGATTACAACTGTCTTCATACCAATACTAAGACATTATTTGCCTTTTTCACTGATTTGATATTTGCTCTGATAGTACAAAAGCATTAGTCACTAAAACTGGACCTAAGTAGTTTAGCAGCTTGGCACAAATCAAGACAAGTGTCACCAAACTGTACTAATACTTGTATTCTTTGCATTTTAAAAGATGCCAGTTTCACTTAAAAATGTCTGATGAAAAAGTAGAAATTACTAAATTCTGACCCTTGAGCATACACCTTTTTAATATTCTGTGAGATGAAGTGGGAGATATGCATATGGCCCTTCCTTGTGTACCAAAGTATGATGATTGTCTGGAGGAAAAGCAGTTGTTTGAGTTGCAATTTGAACTACTGCTTTTTTCATGGAAGATTTTTTACTTGAAATAGTAACTCACAAACTGTGATTGTTTAGAGTTGAGTACTTGGCAGACATTCTCAAAAGTGAGCTGTTAGGTCAAGGAAGGCCACTGACAGAATTTGTTGCTGCTGATAAAAATGACAGCTTCCCAATACTTTTAAGACTTCTGATGAGATCAGTGGGTATTATTACCTATTGTGATTTTTTTTGATGGTATATAATGGAATATGGTGACATTTAGAGGGTTTGTGTAACAGTGAACCAATATTTTCCAAATGACCAGTGTATAACAGGAAATTATGGATGGATAAAAGATTCATACAATGTGCAGCAGCTTTTAATGTAACCGATGCAGTAGGTTTATATGGTTTCATTGTAACTAACATTGTAACTGCATTGTAACTAACCTTTAAAAACCTACCATTTCTTTGGTATAATACCAAAAAATATCTACAGTTATCTGAAAAGACTCCTTTTTTCATTTACATATTTGTGTGATGGCCTGATTTTCTTTGTGTGCCTCAACCAAAACAGTGTATTGCAACAGATTGAACGCAGAAGTAGCTAAGAGAATCCAGCTGTCTTGTTAAGCCAGTCATTAAAGAGATTTGCAAAAATGTAAAACAGTGCTTCACTTCTCACTAACTTGGGAGAAATATAACTGTTTCTTCATTAAATGTTACTTGGGTTAATGTGTAATGAATGAGTTTATAGTTATTAATGATACATATTTTAAGATTTTCTGAGTTATAATTTCTAATACAACATATCAATTGTTACAGCCAGTGGTGTGCTGGAGGTAGCTTATACCAGTTTGTGAGCACAGATTGTTAAAAATTTGGGGAATTTTTACAAGCTGGTTATTAGAGACCCAGTATTTAAAAATGAAACTATTGTTTTAGTTTTGGTGGCAATATCATACAATGGCATGCTGTTGCATGCATCTCTTTCCAACTTCATATTCAGTGACTTCACATTGGAAGCTTGGTGGTGGTTGGGGGTAAGAGTATAAAAGGGGTTCCGAGACCCCATAATATGGGGGAGCAAAAACCCCAACTTAAAAATAGCTGTTTTGTGTTTGCCTGAAATTTTTACATGGTGCATTTTTGTAATTAAAATTAAAATATAAGCTTTAAAAATGCATAATTAGGTATGAGGTTGTCCACACTAATTGTACATTTCATAGTACCTCTATTCATATATCAAAATATGAAACAGTTATCACCTTTGATTTTGCTTATATCTTTGGCCTCCTTAATCCCAAATTTCCAAATAACAAAAAACGTAAAGAAGTAAGAGTTTTTGTATACCAAGTACATGACTAGTGAAGGAGATAAAATATTTGACTAAACACATGCCTCTAAATCTTGGTAAACTGAAATCAGGAATTTAGAATGTAGGTTCACCAAGGGTTTAATTTATTTTCAGTTATAGTTGACATATCTTGTTTTGTAAAACTGCATTGGTGAACTAAGGAAAGCATCCCGTACAGATCTGGAGTGGTTTAAAGTTTTACTGACTTCACTAGGAATAAATCTCAACTTAGTATGTCCCAGGGGCTGTAGTTAGAGGTCTCTCCATCCTTAGGCGAGTTAACCTCAAAATTAAAGGACTCTAAAAAGACAAACCCAAAACCATTAATAATGTTATTTCTGCAGAATAGAGTTGGAGAGTTCGTAGCTTTTTTGTTTGGTATGGACAGATTGACTTTGTTACAAATGCATATTTTTAAAAATGTCTATGCCTTTATTGACCATAAAATACTAATATAGACTGATCAAAATGTACCATGTTGGTCTATAAACCAACAGTAGTAGGCAATTACACTAATGCTTACTGATACTTGGCATATTTAAGTGAAGGGTTGGTATGGGCACAGAATAGACCTTTCACATTAACACCCATGCCTCTATCCTTTTTCATGTGGTCATCACCCTCTCTCAAAATCTTCTGGGCACCCCCTTCTAAGCTATGATAAACTATCTGTAGTTCCCCAAATATGCATTTTAAGTTTTAGTAGATGGGGCCCAAATTGCCTTTTAAAAATGTGACAGTTAACATTCCCACCAATAGCACATGAAGTGTTAGCTCCCTTAAGTGCTTGCCAATGCTGTGTGTTAGCAGTCTAATGTAAATAGAAGTATATTAGTATGTTTTATGTGCCAAATCAAAATTGGCATTGATTTTTGTGTGGTTGTACGAACATCAATAATTGGGTTGGGAATTCATTGATGAAGAGATTAAAAAGTTATGCTTGCCTTTACTATAATTATTTTGGTTTGTTTTCTATCTAGGTACTTTTAAACTAGTAATAGAATTTTCTGAAGAATATCCAAATAAACCGCCAACTGTTAGGTTTTTATCCAAAATGTTTCATCCAAATGGTAAGTAGCAATTTATTAGACTTTGCAAATATTGGGGCGGTGGGAGAGTTGTTTCCTTCCTTTTAGATCTTGCCCCATACTTCTCATTCTTAGGGCCCACTTGTAGATGATGTTTCCATGTTAATACTAGCCACGTTTTTGTAGCCTGGAATCTTAATCAAGGTTCCAAATTTGAGGTAAAGTTGTTTTGTTTTAATCATTTCTGATTTTAAAGTAATATCTATTTGTAAAAATATGAAAGATATCAAAAAAGAATCTTGTCCACTTAAAATTTAGCTTTTTGGGCCGGCCGAGGGGCGCGATGGTTAAGACCTGGCTTGGGACGCCAGAGGGCCCCGGTTCGGATCCCACATGAGGGCCAGTGACACTGCCCTCCACAGCTAAGATGCTGAACAACAGCTCAACCTGGAGCTGGGCTGCCATGAGTCGCGTAGGAAAAAAAAAATTTTTTTTTAGCTTTTAAAAAAAAAAAACCCAAATAAGTGATAGTACAAATTTGGTATGTTATATGTAAAGTTAAGTAATTTTTTATATACTATGAACATTTTCCCTTGTTAAATACTGTTTTGCATCATTCTTAATGGTTGCAAAATGTTCTGTTAATATGAGTTTACCATAATGTATTTAATCAGTGTGTGTCCAATTGTTGGTGATGAAAAGCACTTAACATTCTTGAAAATAAATATTTTCAAATACCTGTGAATATTTCTTTAGAATAAGTTTTTAGAAGTGGGATTACTGGGTCAAAGGTTTGTAATTTGTTTTTAAGACTTTTTAAAATAAGTTTTTCATTTTTTTCTCTTGTTCCTATTTTCCCTTTTAGAAGTTTCTTACTATTTTACTATTGCTGAGTGACCCCTTTGTAATTAGATTTGCTCTTCCTTGATTTTTTCCTATTCTAATATATTTATATTCCTGGATTATAAAGAGCTGTGCTTTAAAGGACTTACTTTCCAAAATATTTAAGCTCTTGTTCCTTTTTGTAACCTTTGCCCGTTTAGATGTGGCCTTCCCCATCAGGTAACCTACCTACTTTCAGGAGGAACATTTTCAGAGATCCTCTTGACTGCATCTGATCTAATACTGCAGACTACATAAACTGGCTATAGGCAGATAGAGCTTTACTCAAAGGAGAGGTGTATTTTTATATATGTGTCTGGAATCAGTGTGACTTCCCAATAATAGATTTAATTGCTTTTTCCTTCCAATTGCCTTTTTTTTTTTTTTTTTTAACCAAGACAAGTTTACTTTTACTTTTTGTTTCTGTTTTGGGGGCAATTCCCAAGTCATTTACCATTTATTCCACTGTAGCTTTATCTGGCTTAGACTTGGTATTCAGTCAACCCAAATTGTAATAAGGGGGCTCTGTAAATCCAGGTGGGATACACTGTAGAATGTGCAGGGTTATGTGTAAGATTTTCAAGCTTAACTAATTTATAGGGAAATAATGTATTAGGTTATTTTTCCATCCCTCATATTAATAACATGGTTTCCCTTTTTTCTGTTATCAGTACTTTTTTATTAGTTAACTTTCTGTTTACTTTTTTGTTTAAACACCTTAATTGAAATATAATTCACATACCATGCTGTTCACCATTTAAATTATGCGGTTTAGTGGTTTTTAGTATATACACTTGAGTTATGCAACCATGACCATAATCAATTTGGGGACATTTTTATCAGCCTCCCAAAAAAATCTCATGCCTATTAGTAATCACTCCCCATTTCTCCCAACCCTCCAGCCCTAGGCAACCACTGATTTATTTTCTGCTTTTATAGATTTGCCTATTCTGGCCATTTCATATAAATGTGGTTCTTTGTGACTAACTTCTTTCAGCTAACAAGCCCGCATCTGTACTTCATTTCCTTTTATTGCTGAATGATATTCCATTATATGGATATGCTGTATTTTATGTTTGTTAGTCGATGGATGTTAACTTTTTGGTTTCTTCTCAAAAATAGTTATTAATTTAAAACTTTAAAATCATTTTATACTTTTATGGGTTTTACAGAGGTGATTATTTTTGCTTTGGGCTTACTAAGTTTGATGTTCCTGTGGGGTAGACAGTAAGTTGACTGTTGCTCTTAAGCTGAGACTTAGAATCTGATCTAAAGCTAACAATTCTGCGTACCTAGCACATGGATAGTAATTGAGGCCATTGGAGTAACACTGCCCAGAGGGTATGTAAAGGGTCAGAAGGAAGAGGACTGAGGATAGAGCCCTATGAAATAACAGTATTTAGGTATAATTTGCCTCTTCTCCCCCCAAAAACTGCATTTCTTTTTCTATGTAGAGTGATCTGGCTTGCTCCATGAAGCGTTCCACAATTGGGCAGTATCTATAACATTTAAAAGCATTTACCCTTTGTCAACACAAGCAGTTCTACTTCTGGAAATTTATCATACAGATAGTCTTGCAGGTGGATAAAAATTTATGTTCATTGTTTGTATTTTCACATAATCAGTTCAAAACAGAGGGATAAGCCTCCCAAATGTTAAAGACTTCTAAAACATGTTAATCACTTATTATTTTTTAATTATAAAAGGAATGCATAGTCATTGCAAAAAACATCATAAAATACAAGAAAACATAAAGAAAATAAAATTAAGATCCTTCATAATCCTACTGCCTACGGATATCCTCTACCTACATTTTGGCATTTAGTGTTACAAATGTATTTGCAACTGCATATACTTCAAATGAAAATATTTATATATAATTCTTTACAAAAAATGGAATTATGCTATAAATAATTGGAAAATTATTACAATAAAAAAATGTGAGTGTCTTTCTACATCAGTTAACATAGGGTAGATGTATATCATTTCTGGTGGCTATCTTGGTATTGGTTATGTGAATGTAGCATTATTTCTTTTTTCTGTTTTCAATCTAGTGAGGAGGTGGGGGAGGGTGCAGCCCATCCCATGCAGGAGTTAAACCAGCAACCTTGTTGTTAAGAGCACAACTGAGCCATCCAGCTGCCCTGAATGTAGCATTATTTAGCCAGTCCCCTCTTTATGTATGGACCACAAGGTAGTTTCCAACTTTTCACTCTTATAAATAGTATTATAGTGAACATCTGTAAATAAAACTTTGTGTGTCCATGATGATTTATTTTAGAATAATTTCTGGGAGTGGAATTGCTGTGTCAAAAAAATAAACTTTAAAGAGCTTTATTTAAGAATATGTAGGTATATGGAATTTAAACAGATTTGCTATATGGCATGTGTTTAACTCTCAGCCTCCTGATAAAAGGTGCAAAATAAGAGACTTTAATTTGAAGACTGGTTTTACTGTGAGACAGGAGGGGATTTACTTATTTTCTAATGTCCAAAACTTCTGACTGGGCCAACCATTTTGTTTGTGGTAAGGATTTCTCTTAACTGTTGGATATGACAAAGTTAATATGTAATCAGTTTCAGTGTTGTCTTTACAGTGTATGCTGATGGTAGCATATGTTTAGATATCCTTCAGAATCGATGGAGTCCAACATATGATGTATCTTCTATCTTAACATCAATTCAGGTAAATGTATGTTAAAATACATCACGATTTTTCAAGATTCCGTGGGATACAGTCGGCTCCTTTAGCAATCTAAAGACCAAGCAAGCAAACTAACCTACCTTCCTAGCACCCAAGTAACTAATGGCAGAGTTCAAACAAAAACCATGATTTTCAGACGACTGGTCTGCTTTTTCATTAGTGATTGCATTAGGTCAGATCCACAATCATTTTCCTGATCATGTATCAGTAAAGTGTTCTCATAGGTCAAGTATTATTCGTGCTCATGAAGCATATCTAGAAGTTGTGGAGAAGAATGATGAAAAATCTTGGGGACAAATAAAGATGATTGCTTAGAAAATCCACAGGGACCTTAAGAAACTGCCAAATGCAGAGAAGCATTGAGGCTGTTGCCCCATCCAAGAAATTCCATTTCAAAAAAAGAAAGTAGTGTCACTATTTATATAGCCAAAGCACTCTGGCAGAATATTTCAGAGTTGACCTTGAATGACAGTTTTGTGGACGGGTGCAGTGAGGGATGTTTTAGTTATATGGATTTGAAAGGAACAGACATAACATTTTGGTTTGTGACTTTTTTAAAGTTTTGTCTATCACACTTCTGCTTTTATTGAGGTCATCATTATAAACATTGTTTATAACCTTTTTATTTCATTCCTGGCTGCTACATTAAAGGAAACAACATACTGTCAGACATTTGCTAAGTAACCACATAGGTAACTCATAAATAATAGAGTTTAACTTTGGAAATGTTAGTTGCTAAGCTATTTATAGCTATTGTATATTAACCAAATCAAGCTGCTTATTTCCTGGTTTAATGTGTTAGTATGCTGAAGGATGTTCTTTTGCAATTTCTTTTAAATTAGAAGTCTTAAGCAATTGAGAGCTATTTGTTTTAGAAGATTAAGTTCTCTAGCAGCAGGAAACTTCCTACTGTGTTATCAAGCAGATTCTGAAAGTATTTAGACTTAAAAATACGTAAGACATACTAATTTCTGCCATTTCTTTATTGGATAATATGTTATTTTTTTATAACTTCTGTGTACCTTTCCGACCTATGTTAATATAAATAATAATTCTGCAAATCTCTTTTTTCTTCTCTCTTTCCTTCTAGTCTCTGCTGGATGAACCGAATCCAAACAGTCCAGCCAATAGCCAGGCAGCACAACTTTATCAGGAAAACAAACGAGAATATGAGAAAAGAGTTTCGGCCATTGTTGAACAAAGCTGGAATGATTCATAATAGACAACTGGTCTGTTAATCTTTTTCATCATTGTTGTGTATAATTTACCTCTCAGTAGAAAGGCTAACAAATTTTAAGTGCCACAGGTTTTATGGATTCTGCAGAAAAAAAAGTCCTTCAGTTTAGAACCTACAAAAGCTTGTGTATCTTGATTAATGTACTTTTTATTGCATGGTGTGAACTAAGTTATTGCTTACATAAATTTGTAATATATCCTGTTTGTATTTTTTTCCAAGTGTATAATGTTGGTGTGGAGTTTTCATGACAGAATATACACATTTTGTAAATCTGTACTTTTTTCAAATATTGAATGCCTTATTTTTGAATTCTTTAGATTTTTAAATTGGAGAAATGCACTTAAAAGTTTTTTATATATGAATATTACATGTAAAGCTGTTAAAATACATAACTTCAGTGCAAGAGACTTTGTCACTTATTTCCTTATCTGTGTAAGAGGGGTTAATAATAAGTCTCTAGCTCTCCATCAATTGATAGTTTATTTCCAATTTCAAAAGAACAAATTTATATTTTATCAAGAAATTCTTCAATTTGATTCTAAACACCAATTATAATCTCAAACTTTATTTTGAATTCACCTCTATTAGTTTCAGTTGAGCAATTAGACATAACTCGTTTGATTCTACCCAACGCTGTACTTAGGACACTTGTTAGTTACTGTTTCTCCATGCACTACTTACTGTTAAACTGTACCTTTTGTGACTCCACAATTTGTACCTCTACCGTGAGCAGAGAGCTGATGCAATTTATTTTGCTGCTTGGTAGTACTTCAAAAGAGTTTTGATAAGACAGTAAAACCATAAACATTTACCAAAAACCCATACCCCACTATTAACAATGAATAAAAATTGGTGGCATTGGTTTGAGCAAGACAGATTATCTGGAAGGAGTCTTGGTGTAATTTAAATATTTGAAAACTGCCTTTTAATGCAATTGCATATCTGTTTATTCTGGGAAAATGTTTTAATACCAGGGCCTGCTGAGTTGCTTTATCTTGTGGAGATTTATTTTTAATCTCCTAAGTTGTACTGCACCTTAGTTTACTGGATAAATTTAAAACACAGTATTGTAGAAAGCTAACACAGTTATCCTATGCTTTCAAATAGTATAGAAAATGGAAAATATACAAGTAAATTCTGTTGAACCACCTGTGTAGTCTTTCTAGTAGTTAAAACAGCATTTCAGTAACCTCAAGAGTTTCTTGTCATATTTATACTAGCTTAGTAAGCTAACAGCTTCTTCTCTATTGGAAGACTGTAAGGTAATATCTACGGCTTCTATTTATTAAGCAAAGTTTAACACTGGAAGGATATATAAGAGCTGATGGTTCCCTTAAAAAGTTATTAGTTGGCAAATTTGGGGGTAAGTGTAAGATCTTAGGGAACTTTTGATACAAATGAGTTCACTCACTGGAATTATGCCCCCCCCCAAAAAAAAAACAACTATAGATTATTTAAAGGTACTCTTTGGTCATATTAAATGTGTTAAGCTTTATATTCAGCTCTAAAACATATTTTCTATAAACATTTATTCCAGTGAGTGACTCTTCAATTAAATATGCAGTAGCAATGAGAGTCTCCCCTCTTACTTCATTACATGCTATTTGGATACTGCTTCGAAATCAGTATTTATCCTTAACCTGTTAACCTTTTCCTTTTTAAAACAGAAACATTTCAAGTATCGATAGATAATTATAGGGGAATTACATCTTAGTTTGCAGGGAATCTGAACTCTAACTCCTAAGTTCAATACATGTATAAAACTCTTTACTTAGTCCACATTCCCATTGGAGAAAACTCTTAGGAACGTTCTATTTCAATTACCCCTCGTAGTTTTTTCCTTCAGTCTTGAAACATTCTTATTTCTTTGGTTAAATACCAGATGTAAACCATCAGTTTACAAGGTTATGTCATAAATAATGTTTACTTTTAAATTCTACATTTTATAAATGTATGGTATAGCAAGAGGCTAGAACTAAGTTATTTAGGTAAGAAGTTGGATTCATGTTAAAGTATTATATTACAAATGAGGAACCTAGGTACAAATAGAGTAAGCGACTAGCTCAAAGTCAACCGGTTAGTAAATGATAGAGCTGGGATTTGAACCCAGGTAGCCTGGAGTTTTGCCAGTAACTGTGCTATCCCTTAATAGAGATTAAGGGATTGAGTATAGTTTTAGAAATTCTGTTGAACTTAAAATATTCATCCCGATTTGTAAAAATAAAATTCATAACTCTTTTGATTCAGAGTTATGTACAGACTTGTATCTATCCAATGAAGAAGTTATCTTGACCACCACTTTCCACCTCTTTTTTTCTAGTATAGTCTGGATATAGGAACACTTGAAATCTCTGATACAGAGGACTGTGACTTGTCAATAAACCAAAGATTTTCCCCTTCTTAGAAATATCTTTAAATCTGCACAGCCCCCCCCCAAAAAAAAATTTTATGAATAACTTCTAGAATTGATCTAAAAATTCTGCTCATACAGGTGGAAGATCATGGAGAAAAAAAACTATTAAAGGTGCCTTATTTAAGTAACAGTCTTGGTGCTCAGTAAATAAGGTACCCATCTACTTTATTCATTTAATACTTTCCTAAGGGAGAACCCTGGGGCTCATAGCACAATTTCGAGTGGTCTAAGATATCTTGATCTCTCAATTCTCTCAAGTTCTAAGAGACAGGGACCAAATTTTTAGGTCTTGGTGGTGTTTATTACAATTCCTTTCTGTTGCATTCAGCAGTGCAAAATCCCAAAGGAATCTGTTACGTGGGGGGTTGTGTATGTGAATAGAAAAGTCAGTGGTTAAAGGTAAATGAAATTGTCCGTAGGACAGCCCTTGTTCCAAGATGTGCCGTTACTTCAGTTCCCATCTAGTTTGAAAAAACCTGAGCTGTTCTCAGATAAAAGATTAGTTCTCTTCAGTTATTCTACTATATGACATAGAGGAAAGATAGTACAGTCTTGTTGAAAAAATTGACTTTTCCCTATCATTTAAAAAATACACATGTGTGTGCCATTCTTTTAGTTACTTCTCCTCACCATCACTACAGCTTTTGAAAACAATTTTGTCAGTAATGTCTTGGGATTTTTAAGTCTCTTGTTCATAGCCTGGGCTAGGGCTTTTTTGGACCAAAAAGATGAGATGTTCCCGTTACAAATCTTGTTGAGTACATGACTCGCAGCTCAGTAACATTAGTTCCTTGGTGGTTGAAATCAAGAACCCTGGAAGGGGCCCCCCCCAGGCTTCCTCTTTGCTCTATAGATGATTCAGATGTGGGTGAGAACCCTGCAAGGATTGACTGAACCCTGAAAAGATTGACTTTCAGGAACTCTGCCATTGGCTGAGTGCTAAAGCGTGGCCACATGATTTATCCATGACTTCTGGAATGTTGGGGAAGACTCTAGTATATAGAGTGTACTCTGCTTAGAGAAAGCAAATCACCTTTTACCAGGTTAGAGAGGTCTTTACATGATGATTGTCTTAGTTACACATGTGATGCTTCTGTAGTCTGTGGGGGAGGTTAGCTGCTCTCAAGTCTTACTTGGGAGACTAGGATCCTAAAAGTGCCACTGAGTAGAGGGGACCAGAGCCTATCTCTGAAAGGATCTCCTCAGGCTCCATCAGCCTAAACCATCTGGTTGCCATTCTTCCTGGAATTCAGGGGGTCTTCAGTGTCTTGGAGGTGCCCAAATGCAAGCCTAGGAGCCCTTACTTACAGCAGACCTCTTATACTGACGCCCAAAGGATACAGTTGCCCTGCTTCGTTCCCACGTGACAAACAAGGCCTTTTGCCCAGAAGACCGCAGTCCGCGCTCCTGAGCCGGAGGCACCTGCAGAGAGGCTGGCAGTTCTTGGGCCTCTTTATAGTCGTTTTACAAAAGTGAGTTGGGAGGTTTAATGTTTTTGTGTTGGTGCCAGTACAAAGACAAGGAGAAATAGGAAGCTTCTTGGCCTGATAAACATCCTGGGCAGAGAACAGGAAAGAAGCCAGACACACCAGCTCATGTCATCAGCTTCAGCTAAAGACTGGGACTGTCACCTCCAAAGCAAAGCTGGATGAGTAACTTGGCCTTGTTGTGGGCTCCGGGTATAGCCCTGTCCCTGTATGGACACGTACGGCTGTGGTTTCCGGTGGAGACTATGGAGCATCAGCTGGAATGCTGCCTTAAGAGTGAAGTGTGTCCTAGGGCTGGTTACAAGGGAGCTTTAGCAAAGATCAGTGAGGGCAGTACTGGGGCCTGGTGGTGGTGAAGTTGATGAGCCCATCTGTTCAGGGAGCAACTTCCCCTCACTGGCTTTTTTTTTTTTAAGATTTTATTGGGGAATTGGGGGAGGGGAACAGCTCTGGGGAATCAGGGGAAGTGGAACAGACAAGTTGCTGTCGTTTTGTTCTTCAGTCTAGTTGTAGAGGACGTTGCTTCACTGGCTCATGTCGGTATTATCATTGCGCTCTTCCCAGGTGAGGCAGATCAGTCACCGGCCTCTGGACATCAGCTCATGGCAGCTCTTGGCAGCTCATGCTGGCTGCCAGCCACACAGGGTAGCTTATGGCAGCCCGCTGCAGCCTACGCTGTCGCCGGCCACTAACGGCAGCCCAGCTCCAGGTCGAGCTGTTGTTCACCATCTTAGCTGTAGAGGGCAGTGTCACTGGTCCCCATGTGGGATCCAAACGGGGACCCTGCTGCTCAGAGCTGGTGTCCCAAGCCAGCTCTTAACCAACACGCCACTCGGCTGGCCCGTCGCTGGCTTTTGTTAGCCTTTCCATGTTGGTTTTTTGACAGGGGCTGGATTCATTTACACAAAGCAGCTTAAGAACAGACCACAATCACCATGGCACCCTCTCAAGACCAAGTCTCTGAGGTCTGAGGCTGTAAGAGCAACAATATATGTACAAAGATTGAAACTGAAAGCTCCAAACTGGGAACTGCTTCCATCCAGCCAGCTCCTGGCAGTCCATGCACAGGTCTGGGTGGGAAGACAGTGGGCTAAGCAGGACCTCCAGGATCCAAGCTCTGAATCCTCGAAGACACTTTTTAATTAGCAGTTTTTTGTTTAAAAGTAGAACCTAGTAAAACATAATTTAGTAAACACAACGGTAGAAGGAAGCATGAGTCATTGTATCACCACCTGAGATGTTGAAAACTCCTGGTTTAACAGGAAGTGGGGACTCGGTGATGGTCCAAGCCCACCTGTCCCCAGTCAGCTGGGGCCCACAATTAATACCCAGAGTGACAGGGAACCTAGTGAGTTTACAGGGTGAGACTCCGGGGCAAGTCTTCCATCATGGAGCCAGAGCAAAGGCCATGTTCACAGAGAAAGGAGCATACCTACAGCCTTTGCAAGCCCCAAACCCCTAGATCCAGGTGGTACAGGGGTGCCAGGGCACTTTGTGGGGGGAAGACTGCAGTGGACACAAGTTCTGGGCAAGGCTGGCCACCTGCCAGCCCCTATCCCCCACGCTGGAGCTTTAGCTCCCGCCCCCTCCAGAACAGCGAGGCGTTGCATTGGTGCTGCACTGTTCAGTACCTGCCAATCACTGTCAGCATAGCTCCTGAGCACCTAATGGGGCCTCCGTAGGCCCTTCATAACTTGAGCCAAAAAGGTCTGTTTTGCAGCTCGGGGTGGAGCCTAGTCTGCTGGGTGATTATGGATGCTCATTTTTCTTTCATGTAAATTTTAGTTGAAACATGTCATGTCTTCCAGCTTGGTCTCAAAGGACAGTAGGGCAGAAGTGAAGCAGTGAGAGTTCACTAAATGCGAGGTACTTTTATAGAAAGTAAAAGCTTTCCCACTGAGTCCTCCAATGAATATTAAAGTGGGAATCATCCCCACTTTGCAGATCCCTTCACTGAGGTGAAATAACTCGGAATTATCTACAAGTTCACATCTATTAGGTTCAGTTAAATATCGTTAGTGTATAAGAAAATGTCAAATGGGAAGGAAAATGCAGCCATGACAGGATAAGATTTTGATACCAGCATTCACAGCACAGCATGGGCTTTAATCACTAGTTCAAGGTTGACTTAACTGTTAATTGTCCCTTCACTATTAAGTACCAAGACCTGCTTCAGGCCCCTAACAGCATCCTTCTCCCAGGCAAATAATAGTTTGGAGGGCCATATTCAAGGATAGTTTTGGTTTGTTAGCCTACTTTTCCTAGGCTCGGAAAGAAAGAGGGGACTTGGGCTGGGACCACCAGGGTTGTATTCCAAAGAGGCACCCGTCTGACAGCACTGTCAAGGAAAACCTCTGGTTCACGTGCCTCCATCTAGAATAGTAAGAATTAGCTCCATCTAATGGGAGCTTAAGAGTCTCAATATTTCCTTTCTGTTTGATTTCTAGAGGCATCTGTTCAGGTGATGTTATCCACCTCCTTAGCTGGTCCTCTTGTCCATAGCAAGGCTTCAGGCCCACTCCATCTCTGACAGGAGCACATGCAAAGGCCTCTGCCCCTACTGCTGGCATTGTGAGGAAACCTTCCAAACCAAAGTGAGAAGGGCAGCCAGCCCTGCCACACCTAGCCCCGGGAGACATAACTGAAGGGACAGAGTAAACTTTGGGGAAGAAACAGAACCTCGCCTGGCTTGCTTTTCATTTAAATAAATAAATAGGTTTTCTCGTTTGCTCTGTTTATTTTAATGAAAAGCCAGGTGAGATTCTGTTCCTCCCCCAAAGAGTTGTGTGTGTATCCATGAGGGCAGAGAATGTTTTACTGTGCACTCAGCATTTATTGAAGGAAGCAATTTCCCTGACCAAAATTGTTTTAAGTTCTAAAACTCTTAACCTCTTAAGATTTGCGTTTACTCTTATTCCTACTGAACTAAAAGGTATCCCTCAAGTAGTCAAGAACGAGAGCCATGACTAGATGACAGATCCCAGACCCCAGAAGCTGACCGTCTCCTTCCAGACATAGGGTACCCAGCAGAGACTTGAAAGCTGGACAGCTTGGAAGCACCAGCTACCTGACATAGGGGAATATAAATCTCATTCCAGATGCAACGGTCTGTGTTTTCACAGTCATTTACTACAGATAGCAAAGCATCAGAGGATAGGCGTGACTGACAGTGGGATTCCTCCCAGTGCCCATGGAATAGGTAAAGCCATAGGTCCAAATGGATCCTGGAAAAGTTCGGAGGGAATCCTTTCCTCTGCAGAGGTAGAGGACTGATCAGGTGGGCCACAGACAAAGGAACATCTCAAAAGCCATTTTCTGGAGAACAAAAAGAGCATCACTGTGAACTAAGCACCCTAAACTGCTCTATTAGCACTTGCTTTTCACAAGGTATTGATCCTCTCGTGGTCATTACCATGTGCCTTCCTAAGATCTCAGTTGATCTTCACCCTGTGTTAGGCAGGGTTGTATATATGAAGATGCCTGTATCTTTTAACTTCTACTTCTATCTAGTGTGAGCTCCTGTTTGAAAGCTAAGAGTAGGCCACTTTATCTATACCCCAAGGAGTGCTGCCATGTGGAAAATTAGATTTCTAGCCCACTTTATTCCAGAAAAAGATAAAGGATGAAATTACAAAATATTGGTTAATTTCACAGGTAAGATAGCCACAGAGGTTGTAATGGTAAGATGAGAAGGAAAACAGAGGCAGCTTAAACTGAGGAAATGAGAGAACACCCATTACAAAATGCTATCAGAGAAGTCTTCAAAAATAAACTGAAGGAAATTTGGGGGGGAGGGGCCTGCGGGTAATCAGTCCACAAATTAAGCTTCTGTAGGCAATGGACACGTTCCTGACAGGATACTATTTTATTGGGACATTATATCTTATAGAGAAAATAAAATCCATGATGAGGAACCTATGGAAGATGCATTTTACAAGTGAACAATCACACTCTTGATTTTTCACTTTATAATTTGGCTTTTTAAGCCTCATCTGTACAGATAATCAGAATGGAAAGAGGCTAGGCCACATTTGAGGAAAAGAGGATAAGGCTTATTAAGCATGTGCTTGGCCTTCTAACATCTTAATCTTAATCCTTGCCATAGCTTTGTGGTATTTCTGTGATCTCCATTTTCCAGGTAAGGCAGGAAGAGAGAAGTAGCTTGTCCAAGGTCATACTTGGAGATCTTGTTTCTTCACGTGGGCCCCCCTAGTGGTCACTACAGATTAAAGCTAGAAGCTGCACAGATGTCCATCCAAGGTGTGCAGTGTGGCCTTAGCCTTGAGCCATGGGCAAGAGTCACTCCACTTCTCTGCTCCCAGTCACCATGTTCCCACCTCCAGCTCTCCTCTTCAGCACTTCTGGTTGTTCAGTTACCTGGGTTTACCAGGAGATTAACCAAACATCCTGATGAGTGAATCCTGCTGAAGTCCCTCTCAGTATTTATGGCTGGAGATAAGTACTTAATGGTGGGTACTAAATAAGAAAGAGGAACAGATAGGTTAACTAAAAGGGGGCAGTTCATACCAGAATTTCAGGGCAAAGCAGCATTGCACTTAGTATTTCTTGAGGGGCTATGTGCATGGCAATTCCTCAAGTCTAAAAGACCAGAGCCTGAGGCTCCCTCCAGAAAAAGAGAATGTGGGCTTGACTCAGCATCTGGGAGAACCCCAAGAATCTGCAGATCAACTGGCTGCCTGCACCAAGCTGTGGAATCTTTTGTCGGTTTTAAAATAAGGGCAGATGCCTTTTTGTAGGCTGCCTCTTCCCATGGGCTGATGAGTGAGTACCTGATGATGAGGCCTATGGTTTGATTCTCACTCATCTCTTTTTTAAACATGAGTGTGGCACTGGGGTATATGGGTGTAATAAACTTCAGCTAGAAATAAGGATAAAGGGATCTGGTTTGCCTCAATGGGGGGGGGGACCCATAAAACAGAATTACAGTTAAAGGTATACTGCTGAGAAATCCAAATTGTAAAATCTACCTGCCATTATTACATCAACATAAAAAAATACACATTTTTTAACAAAAAGTCTGACCGACATTAAAAAACCAAATAAAAAAGGCATGATTTATAAATACATAAATATCCATGCATACTTTTACAGTGACGGCTACTGGAAGAATGAGACCTTTTAAACTGCCACTTTCAGCTGCCTCTTTTCTACATATTGGAAGGACCAGGAGTCTTAAGAGAGCTTCTGTGGTCAATGGCACATTCATCCCAGCTTCCTTTCTAAGCCTGTAGTTGATGATGAAAATATGATGACTCTTCTGCCTTAGCATTGATGCTGGGGGGGTAAAAAAAAAGGTTATATAGCCATGTAGTCCAGTGAATTGGATTCATAAATTAAAATACAGCAGCGATGCAATATTTATGTACTACCAAGATGGTGAGTAGATTCAGAAATTATTAATATTTTACTACGTACAGAAAATTCAGCAGAACACTGACCCATCCATTTGAAAACCAGAACCTAATTTTTTTGTCTTGTCATTTGTAATCTGTAAATGTTTGCCATTTAAAGTGGTAACAGAAATACTTAGAGTACAACTTTTTTCCTGGCATGCTCTGCAATGAAGGGTTCTGAAAGCAGAATTACACAAACACTTATTGTTCTAAATTAAAATCAGTTGAATCCAGGTAGTAATTCACAACATTTCACACTGAGTCAGGATATTTAGGAGATGTGAAGGTTATATATTTCTGGATTTCACACTATTAGAAACTGTAAATGCTTGTCTTCAAATAGTAGTGAATTAAAACATATATCCTTTCTGTGTACTCTCTAGCACCTCTGGTAAATTTAAACTTGGCTTGAGAGAACTTTTAAGCAGGGTGCGAAGAAATCATTTTGACTCTCACCTTGTATCTGAATGGATTTCCTTAACATCTAGCAGTATGAGTAAATCAATCTGAGAGTCTTTTTAGTAATCAGAGTTTTCAAGGTATGACCTATTTCCTAAGCCTATAGCTCCAGTCTTTCTGAGAAACGAAAAAGCGTAATTCCTCAGCAACAGCAAAATACAAGAAGTCTTTTTCCTTTTAGGAGAATGCAGTATCGCCTAAAGAAACCATCATTAGTCCAAAGGGAAGGAGATGCCCCAAGCTGTCTCAAATTTCTGATAAGACAGACCATGACTACAGCAGCACAACAGCTGCTACTGGTTTTGGCTACATCAAGTATGGTCTTTGATACACCGTGCTGGCAGGTGATTCACTCACCCTGGGTACCAGGCAACAGACTGGCCTGTGGGGTCAGACAGCTTTTCTGGCTTCTTGTAGTGGATAAAGGGGAAGAGGTAGCTCCACTGAGCATTTTATCTTGGGGATACAAGACAAAATCTGATTTAACTAAATACCTCAAATACCTGCCACCTTAGAATCACAGCTCCTTCCACCAAGGAGTGGCTGCTCTATTACCTTGGAGCTTGCCAAGACTGGGTATAAAGCACAAAAAAGAACCTACTGAAATGCCAGCACACTTGTTTTTCTAACTTCTCTTTCACATTTCATATACACTTCCCATTCCGTCAGTTTCCCTCTTTGATAAAAGTGTTTGCAGGGAAAATGGACAAGTAATTAAGTTGACAAATTCTTGGAGCCAAGAGTGACAGCCTCCTAGTCAGTCACTCCTTTTGCTCCTTAAGACAATGCCTTGGAAATATTAACTCTTGACAGTCACAGTAATGACACCCTTCTTGAGGGAGCTGCTGCTTATTTGTTAATTATTGCTCATTGATGGGTAAAGCTGGTCAACCACAAAGGCTGCTGGGAGGTGCCCAGGGACGGCTGTTAGATAACTGAGATTGTTGGTTCAATATATTTGTGTTTGAATCCCCTTCTTTCAAAAGAAAAATCATATATGCTGCAACTATTTGACAAATACCACCAGAGACCAAAGCTCATTTCTCAGGGAAAAAAAAAAGTTGGAGACAGGGGAGATGTACTTGCCTCAAAACTGCAGAATAGCCATAAAGTATTTTTAAAATCTTAAAGAGCTTATGTCCCTAAGTCATCTTCACTGTCCAGTCCTGAGATACCAACAATGACAGGTGATCTCGTTTCCACTTGCTAGCTAGCTTTAAAACCCAACTAAATTCTAATTTTAGAGCTAAGTACCAATTCTAGGCAGAGCTACAACACAACAAACATTTTCAGGTGCGTGGCTTGACATCAAGGTTTTTTATTTTTATTTTTGTCTCTGAGCCTGCAGTGTTGCTTAAGGTTTGCTAGCCTCTATTACATGCAAAAACCTCAGACAAGAGACAAAAGAACTGCTGCAAAGTCCCCACGGCTCTCTCCAGTGGGCTCTCATAGCAGCCCTCAATGGAGAGGGACAGCCTTCACCACCACACAGGTCATGGCACACAGGTCAGATAACTCGTTCTCAGGATGGGCTTATCTAGAAGAGTCTAACAGCTGGCAAAACTCTGCACCCTCTAAGTACCTCACTTTTCAGGATCAACTGAGTTTCATTTTCAGTGGCATCAACAGTCTAAAATTAAATTTGGTTACTATGACAACAGAAGTTGTATTTGAAGGAAGTTGAAACACACGTAATCCCAAAGTGCTATAGAAGTCTAGGCTCCCTGCAGCCTTCTTCTAGGTAGGCAGGTGCTAATGATTAGTCTGATGACAGTTCAAGGATGCCAGGTTCATGCGTGAGGACTACTCTGGAGGCAAATACTGCAATGACTGTCAACGTGAACATCCCAGGGCAGGGGTTCCTTACACTTTTGAGGTTCAAGACCCTTTTACAATGTATAACAGAGAGGCCCTTCCCCCGAACACACACATACACTGCCTCACACTGGTCTATGGATCATGTTAGGGACATGCATAACAATTAGAAAACCTCCTTAGTCTCTCCTGGGGGCTGCAGCCCAAATATCATGAAGTGACTTGATCTCTTAGGCTGGCATGACTGGAAAGAGTAGAGCTCCATACAAGACAGAAGTATACTGTAATAGAAAATGGATGTGAAAGATCTTAGGGAGGGCAGAAAATCTCTTAGGAGCAAAACGCAAGGAAGGAATTGGCCACAAGCAGTTAGGAAGTACGGATTCACCCTATTCCCTGCCTGCCCCTGCCCCATGGCAGGTACGCTTGTACCCCAGGCAGCCCGCAACTATCTAACCACCCTGTGCCTGGGCCCCAGGAACCTCACCTCTCTAGGCACTGAAGGAATGACCGCCCAGAGATGTTTTTTTTTTTTTAAGTATTACATGAGAGGATCCAAACAGTCACAAATCCCCAATTTACATGGTTCCCTGCCTAAAAACAGTAGCTTTCTGTTAACAGCTGATTTTTAAAAATATAATAGCCCCTTGAACATCAACCTGAAACTTTTGATTCCAGGTTCAGTTTAAAAATAAAGACTACTTTTATAGGAAAACTATCTGAAATCAAGTGGGCTGTGCTGTCTGGGGCTGAAGTACTTTCTGGGCAGCTGAGGATTTGATTAGTTTCTAGTTACCACACAGAAGGGAATCTTTTTATATGCTCTGCCTTCCAAAAAGGGTGAGGCAAAGGCTTACCTATGATTCTGAGAGAACTAAAAAAGAAGCCAGCAGCTATTTGTCCTATTGCATTGGTCAATTTTGTAAGCATTTTCTGAGCACCTTCTCTGGGGTATGCCTATACCAGGTTTTGGAGTTAGAAAGACTAAAACTTTAGGCACCACCTCAAGAAGCTTATAATCTGCTCTAAAAGAGGGCTGGGTAAAGTGCCAAAGAAAGAAACTTTCGGAGACCTGACAAAATGAGAAAAAGCATGTCTTGGGGGATTCTGAAAAGCAGCTGGGTTGCCCAGCCCCATCACTGGGGCCTCTATCTGTCACTCTCTCCATGGCCCCAGCCCCGGGATCCAGATACAAGGCTCTTACAAGCATGGCCTCATATCAAGCCTCGCAGAATAGGAAACAGCTCTGATGTGTGGACATTACTACCATCTACATTCCCATCAGCAAGTAAGTTGAAGAGGCCAAACAAAACTGGTCAGGCCCTCACCTGCTAGGTTAAGGATGAGTTAATGTTACCAACAGGACTTTTTAATAAGTGGGAAACTAGCCAACATTTTCTTTAAAAATCAAGCAAGAAGCTCGAAACAATGTTCCTAGAGGAACTGAAAGAGGTTGAGTTTATGTGTTACTCTACCAACAGTGCATGATTTATCATACTGAGTTGTTACCTAGATATAAAAAGGTTTATACCAATTACAGAGAAATAAAAATGAAAGGGTTTAGATCTTTGGGTAAACAAGCATCCAGGAAACAATACATACTCTAATACATCATTATAAACGCAGGAGCCATTAACTTTGTACCATTTCAAATGCACTTGGAAATCCTGTTTACCTTTTTCATTAATTCACTTCTGGTAGTAAACTGTGGCAGGTCTTCCACTTCAATCCCATCAGCCATTTCCATCACCTTATCTAAAAGGTCTTTGTTGTAACTGCACAATAAAAAGTAGTAAGGTTAAAAACCTTAAGAGAAATTACTTGTCAGTATGGGGCTAACAAATTGCAGGCAATGGGACTATAAACTCAACTCTCAGAGGACTGATTTGATACCACAGGACAAACCAATACATGTTCAGCAGCAGCTTAGTTAACAGTTCTTCCTGCTTGGGGATATAGAAGTGGCTCTAGGAATGCCAACAGAGCAGGTGTTTCAAATTTACAAAACAAACAAAAAACTTTACAAAAATAGAGACACTGTACATCTGGCAGTACATATTCGTGGATATGGTATGAGGGCCAAAAAATTACTTTTTGAACACATGGAATGTGGGTCTAATGAAAATAACATTATTTGTTCATTTATCCAATTTTCTGACATTTGCTGAATCTTGGATCCTATTAACCAGGATTTCCCAGGACCACCTAAAAGGCAGAGAAAAGGGATGGGTGCAACTGGCAATGCTTCCCCAAATCTTGTTCTAATAACCCCCAACATCTGAAAGCAAAACCAAGTGGCATAGGGGCTAGAGAGGCCATGTGACCAGAATCAGACAGCCATAAGGAGCACTGAAACCAGGACTAAACAGTCATCTTATCCTACCACAATTTCAGGAAACGCGAAAATAAAAGGATGTGGGAACTTCGAGATTTGCCACCTTCTTCATGGTGGAATAAAGGGGGGATGCAAGGTACCTGTTATTTTCATAAGAGGAAAGGCAGTGAGGCAAAGGCTGGCTCTTTCTCAGGGTCCAGCAGACTGGGGAGTGGGGAGAAAAAGGCAAGGGCCACAGATTACATCCTGATTATCAATGTAAAATTAAACCAATCCTGTCAGAAGCTGCAAGGCTCTAGGAATGTCACCTCCAGCTTCTCTGTATGTAAATTGGGGCATCCCTTTTTCGGTCGGTTTTTGTCTCAGCATTTGCCAGTGAAAGGAGCTAATGGACTTAAAAAAATGCACTCTGCAAAGGTGGTTTGAGCTAATATTAGCAATATAAGTAACAATGGTGACTTTAGCGCCCAGCATATATTGAGCTCTTGCTAGATGGCAGCCTGTACTAAGTGCTTTTCACCCTCTAATACTGTAGTCATCACAACTCATTTTCCAAATGAGGAAACCTGAGGGGTTGGCTAAGGGTGGGAATCGGCCGTAGGCCTGGCCAGTGCAGTTGGAGGTTGGGGTCAGGGTCAGGCCTGGAAGAGGGCGACAGATCGGAAGGCAGGGGACAGGGTCAGCCAGCCGGCAGTAGTCCGCACCTGCAACCCAGGAAGAGGTGGTTGGCCCAGACCATGGAGAGGGACAGCAGCTGGTCCAGGCGGCCGCCTCCGTCGGGCGGGTCGCGGTAGTCGGGCAGGTGGCGCAGGATGAATTCCATGCGGGCCTTCCATTGCTTCTCGCTCTCCGAGTAGGAACGGAACTGCTCAGCAAAGTCGGTCGCCTGCCGCACCCCCGAAACCAGCTCCTCCACTGCGGCCGCCGCCTCGCCACCCACCATGGCGCCCTCCGCCGCCGAGGGCCGGACGCTCCCGCTGCCTTCCCGGCACGCACTGCGCCACCTCCCAGCGGCTAGAGGGGCCCCGGCGGCGCGCGACTGCTCCAGAGAATCGGCCTGGAGCGCCCTCTCCGGGCGCGGCGGCCTGCCTCGCCCGGCCCCTCAGACCTCCGCGGCCCGTGGCTGCTGGGCGCAGGGCACCTTCTCGGTCGACCCCGCGGGGAACCGGTTGGGAAACTGAGGCCCCCAAGCACAGAATCAGGTTGCCGTTCTCCTGTTCAGCAGTTGGAGGTCAACCAGAGGTGTGCTGTGTCCTTGCCCTGGGGGTTCCCTGGGTACCCAGCAGGCAGTTGAATTTCCTCGGTTTTGAGGACTTAATGTGTAGCTGCTGTGGATTTATCTTTGATTCCCAGAGGTCTCGACACCCCACCCAGGTTGTGGCCCACCTTCCTGGAGCGAGTCATCCATCGAATTAAATGCCTGCCAGGCCCTTAGCCAGGTGCCCGGGTTGCAATGAGAGCAAACTCAGAGCCCTGCTCGGATGAACTTGACCATCTACTGAGGGAGGCAAACATTAGTGAAATACCTAACTGCTCAGGTGAAAATGTTCAACGTTGACAAGTTTTAATGAGGACCAGAGTGCTAGAAGACAAATAAACAAGGGACCTGGCCCAGACTTGGGGGTCATGGAAGGTAGTGATGCTGGAGAGCTGAGGGATGAACACGAGTTAAATACAGAAAGAGGAGTAGGCCATGGCAGGCAAGCCTGGCCTGGGAAGAGAATGGCAGCAGGGTTCTAGAATGGGGGCAGTGGAGATGAGGCGGCACAGATCAACAAGGACAGTAGGCCATGCTAGGGACTGTGGTCTAGATCCTAAGAAGAATGGGGAGCCACTGAAGAATTTTAACCAGAGCAGTGACACTTGTGTTTCCAAAAGATGTTGGAACGAGCCAGAATGGATGTGTCCAGAGATGAGCAGGTGAGCTGGCATGACTCTGCTGTCTGTTCTAGGGTCAGGTTGCAAACTCCCTGAGATTGACAAAAGCACCATTGTAAGCAGTGACTTTCCCATCCCTGGAAGCATTCAAGTACAGTAACAAGGGAATCACCTGAACCTCCACTAACCTTGAGAGCTTATTGACCTAATAGGCTTCCCCATCATTCCCCATTAGGTGTGGGGTGGGGTACAGAGCTGGGCCTAGAATCCAGGATCCAGGGCTCCAATGTAGGCCCTATGTTGTGAGTGGGGCCCAGAGACAGAGCCAACTATGTGCTCTCTGCTGCTTCTGCAGCTTCTCATGGGATGTCAGGGCCCCCAGCAGGCAGAAACCCCAGAGAGAATGAAAATACCATGCAGTCTTATGAGTGGACTGTGCCTACATACCCAGTGACGTCCCATTATGGTAAACAAAAGGGAGGCATGCAATTCTCACCCTGGTGAGCAGGGAGAAAGTGAACAGGGCTATGAAACCAAATACAGACTCAGCTTCTCTACAGCAATCAGGAATATGTGCCCAGAGCAGGGGCTCCCAAAATTGAGTACAAATCACATCTCCTGAGGGGCTTGTTAACATAGCAGATTCCCAAGCCCATCACTGGTTGCTCCAAGTCAAGGTCTTAGGTAATTGATTCCACCTGCAGCTGACCAAACTTTAAAAAACACTTAATATTGATAAGCATTCTCTGAACCAAGTTATTGGTCACCTGATTGTACCATGGAGAGGCTGACCCAGAAGTAGGAACCCGGGCTCTGTACCAGCAGCTGCAGCTACACAGCTGACTTGGCCACAGGGGTGTGAAAAAACTAAGGGCTCATCCAGCAAGTAGCTTATTTAGAATCATCTTTGACAATGATGGGACATAAGCATATATGTACCTACACACAAACACATGCATGCAGGTTATAAGAATCCCAAAATGTACATACACATAGGTATTTTTTTTAATAATATGATTGTTAGCATTATGCTTTCAAAATGTGAAGTAGTCTAAAAATTGACACAGGACCCTATGTCAAGTCCAATCACTGCCCAGTTTATCGTTTCTAACTTGTATTTAGGATTCAGATTTTCTTAGAGTGGAGTTCTAAGGATCAGTTTTCCTACTTCATTTTTTTAAAGCATCTTTATTGAGATGCACTTCATATACTATAAAATTCACCCATTTAAGATACATAATTCAGTGATTTTAGTGTATTCACAGATTTGTGCAAATATAGAACATTTTCATCACCCCAAAAAGAAAGTCCGTACTCATTAGCAATCACTCCCCTTTCCCGCCAGCCCCAGGTAACAACTATTCCACTATTTGTCTCTGTGGATTTCCTACAATTCACATTTAACACAAGTGGAATCATATAATATGTGGTCTTTTATGACTGACTCTTTCACTTATATAATGTTTTCAGGGTTTATCCACGTTGTAGTATGTGTCAGTACTTCATTATTTTTCATGGTTGAATAATATTTCATCATATGGATATACCTCCATTTGTTTATTGATTCATCAGTTGCTGGACATTTGGGTTGTTTCTACATTTTGGCTATTATGAATAATGCTGCTATGAACATTTACGTACAAGTTATTGTGACAACGTATGTTTTCAATTTTCTTGGATATATAGTGGGTTGCTGAGGGTGTGTTCAACTTTTTGAGGAACTTACAGATTGTTTTCCACAGTGTCGACACCATTCTACATTCCCACTAGCGATGCATGAAGGTTCCAATCTAGTTTCTCCATATCCTTGTCAATACATTATTTTCCCCTTTTTTGATTATAGCCATCTTAGTGGGTACAAAATGGTATCTCACTGTGTTTTTGTTTTGCATTTTCCTAGTGATGTTGAACATCTTTCATATGTTTATTGGCCATTTGTATATCTTCTTTGGAGAAATGTCTATTCAGATCCCTTGCCCTTTAAAAAAATAAATAAATAAACTTTATTTTTTAAGAGCAGTTTTAGGTTTACAGCAAAATTGAGTGGAAAATACAGATGGTTTCCATATGCCCCACCATCACCACCACACACACACTCACACACACACAGCCTCCCCCACAATCAACTTCTCACACCAGAGAGGTGTAGTTGTTACAATGACACATCGTTATCATCCCACATCTATAGTTTACATTAGGGTTCACTCTTGGTGTTGTACATTATGTGTTTTTTTTACTCTATAGGTTTTGACAACTGTATAATGACATGTATCCACCATTATAGTAACATACAGAATAGTTTTACTGCCCTAACAATCCTAAATGTCTTTTGCAGAGCAAAAGTTTTTATTTTGATGAAATTCAATTTATTTTTTCTTTTATCCATCATGCTTTTTGGTCCTATTTAAGAAATCTTTGTCTAACCCCATGACATAAAGCTTTCTTGTTTTCTTCTGGAAGTTTTATAGTTTTAGGTTTTACATTTAGGTCTATGCTTCACTTCAAGTAAATTTTTGTATATGATGCAAGGTATGGGTTGTCAAGAACGAGAAAGGGTATAAGATTTTACCCTACTTGCAAGCTAACAAATTACCCTGTCAGTTTCAATGGATGCTGGCAAAAAACATAAGCCTCCTAAGACAGAGACAAAGAACTTTATTTACTTATAGCACAGCAAGCAGTACGAGCTTCACGTTTCTATTGGTTCCCCTTGTCCCCAAGGTCCCACAGGGTGGATGAAGTACAAACAGGTACACGCAGTGGGTTTGTATCACAGCTGAAGAACTCCAAGCTTAGGGAACGTCAATCTTTTATAAAGGACTGCAAGCACACCTGCCCAGTCTTTGCCCCAGAGCAATATATTTTTATCTGGACAGCAAACAAACTTGCCCTTTTGCTCCAGAGGCAGACACTCTCTCCAGGCTGTTTTGTGGACAAACATCCTTGAAAGACAGTCTGGGGCAAAAGGGGAGTTAGTGTCTCACTCAGCCCGTAAGGTGTGCAGATTTGGGAGAGACCCATGGACAACTGTCTCCCAACATAAGCTGAGATTCTTTATTTTGGGGGCATAGGATTGTCTAATTGGTCTAGTACAATTTGTTGAAATAACTATATCCTTTTTTCATTCAGTTACCTTGCTACCTTTGTCAAAAATCAATTGACCATAGATGTGTGTGTCTATTTCTGGACTCTGTTCTGTTCCATTGATTTATGTCTCTATCCTTTTACCAGTATCACACTGTCTTGATTACTGTAGCTCAGGAGTTAGCAAACTTTTTCTGTAAAGGGTGGGATACATATAATCCCTGTTGCATACTTTTCTTTGTTTCTTTTTTTTCAACCATTTAAAAATCTAAGAAACCATTTTTAGCTTGTGGGCCTTGCAAAAACAGGCTTCAGGCTAGATTTGGCCGATGGGCCAGAGTTTGCCAACCCAGCTATAGCTTTATAGTAAGTCTTGAGGTCAGATTATTTTGAGTTCTCCAACTATGTTCTTTTACAAAATTGTTTTGGTTATTTTAGTCTATTGCTTTTCAATACACAATTTAGCATTAATTTTCCAATTTCTAGAAAAACAGGCTGCTGGGATTTTAATTGGGATTTCATTGAATCTATAGATCAATTTGGGGAATAATAAACATTTAACAATATTGAATCATCCAATCCATAATTATGGTATATCTTGCCACTTATTTAGGTCTTGTTGTGGTATATTTTCATTTTATTTATTTATTTATTTATTTATTTATTTATTTATTTATTTATTTATTTTTACAGATTTTATTGGGGAATCAGGGAATGGAAACAGACAAGTTGCTGTCCTTTTGTTCTTCAGTCTAGTTGTGGAGGACGTCGCTTCACTGGCCCAATGTTGGTATTATCATTGCGCTCTTCCTGGGTGAGGCAGTCACTCGCCAGCCATTGGACAGCTGCTCACGGTGGCTCATGACAGCTCACGCTGGCTGCGGGCCGCTCATGCCGGCTGCCAGCTACTCACGGTAGCTCACAGCAGCCCACTGCAACCTACACCGTCCCCGGCGACTCATGGCAGCCCAGCTCCAGGTCGAGCTGTTGTTCACAATCTTAGCTGTAGAGGGCGCAGCATCACTGGCCCTAATGTGAAATCCAA